ATTGTGTACATCTGGAATAGATATGGTTGTGTAAATCAACATTTTTCTCTTTCTCCTAGAAATCATCCAAAAGCAACAAAAGGAGTGAAAAAATAAACTCTATTTTTGGCAAAACTTGAGGACAGGTATTATCCAAGACTCCCAAATATGTGTAAGAACTGTCCAAAGAAGCCGAGATTAGGATGAAAACAAATAGGAGGAAATGAAGAAAAAGAAGCTCAGAGAAAGATTTCTTTGATGTGATAGCCAGGCAAAAATATTTTTCCAAAAGGTAAGCGGTATATGTAGAGATGCGCTAACTGTATTGCTTGTTTTTAAAAACAGGTGCAATGAGTGGGCTAAAGGGAAAGCCTTCCTGCATCTGATTTGGTTGAGAGAAGCTGAGGAGCCAGGGCTATATAAAGAATCCTGAGGGTGAACCCCTTTGTGGAAGAAATTTATTTCTGTGGCAGAACAGTTCTTCTTGTGAAAACCAGCGACCCTGGGATTCTCTCTTATTACCCCCTTTCTTTTCCTGCCCAAAGCATCTTTCTGTCCGAGAAAACTGAACCCGATTCATTTAGTGCTAACAAGGATCTTTAGTGCTATTATCCGGAGTAATAGCAAGGATCTAACAAAGCATCAATACAAAGATACAATAGGAAAAAAGGAGAAAAATATTCAGAAAAGTTTATTGAAGGGCAAAAGAGAGAAAAGTTGCCACAGAGCCAATAAAAATTGGGAACATTTTACCATGAATTAAAAAATCTTAGTGAAAATGTTTTATCCATGAAGATAACAAAGCAAAGATAGAAGAACACAGGGAAGAAAGGATGAGATCATTGGAGGACATAACACATGAGCTGGTAAAATTCAAAGAAAGGAGTAGAAGAGAAAGAGTCATCCAGAAGTGAAGAGAGCTCAGAGCACAAAAGAGAAGGGACACTGAAAAAAAAAAAAAAACCCACAGTAGGTGACACAGAGAATAAATATGAGAAAAGCAAGCAAGCAAACAAACAAAAAACAAATATAGATGTTTTATAAAAAGGATTTGAGAAAAGATGCTTAACATAGAAAATAGATGATCCAACTTATGTACTTTTGGAGTCCCTAAAGCAGATACCAAAGGAATAGCACCAAATAAATATTGAAAGTTTGGATTCAAAAAGACTTTTCATGAAATGAAGTAGACTTGACTATATTTAACTAGAAAGGTAATTCCAAGACATAGCCTAGTAAGTTTATTCTACTTCAAAGATAAAGAAAGGAGTTTTGGTAACCCAGGTAAGTTTGGGTCACGGATAAGAGGAAAAAGTATCAGAACAGACTCAGACTCATTCAGACTAACTTTTAATGTTATTAGACAGTGGAATGGCATCTATGAGACTCTCCAGGGAAGAAAATGAGACCCGAGGACTTCTAGGTCCATTCCAACTGCCCTTCAATTAGTAGTCCTTCAATTTTAAAGGCTTCTAGACAAGCAATTTTGACATGCATGATTTCAGGATGATCAATCAACAATGAATTAGGGAACCTACAGCAAAAAGACTGTAAAAGCGAAAACTGTGAAGATTGGGTTGAAGAACAGAAAATAAATTACACTCCAAAGAAATAGAAATGGAACAACTAACATAAACTGGGGGTGGGGGTGGGGGTGGGGAATGGGAGTAAGAAGGTTGGAGGTAGAGCAATTGCTGTGTGTGTCGACTTTATAACTGAGAGCAAAAGCATATTATTTTGAAGCTGACAAATCAAGTAATTGAAGTGGATGTATATTTAACAGTACAGAGGTGTATGCCAAAAGGGTAATATTATGGATAGAAATTGAGAGGTGAAAGGGAGGAGGGGAAAAGGGAAGAAAGAAGTGCACTAATTTTATCATTGTCTGTGGGAGGACACTAATAAATACTGTCTAAAAAATAAAGAACTGAAGGAGTCCTCTCAAGTTATAATTATGAATATAATCACTAAAACAAAAATGATTTTTTTCCAGCTATCAGAATAACTTCACACACACCCCCAAGAGATCACCTAGTAAAGAACTTGAAATAACTTCAGTATTGAAAAATGTGCACAAACCAAGACCAAACGTATCAGTCCTACCAATAAATGTGAATAGGCTAAAGTCATCTATTGAAAGAAAAAGATTTTCAGACTGGATCACAAAGAAAAGAAGTTCTATGCCACCTAAAAGAGATACTCATAAAACAAAGCCATTGAGATAGGCTAGAAATAAAAGTTTTGGCAAAGATGTATCAGTCAAATGTAGACACCAAGAAAGTACACATAATCAGACAAGAAGGCTAATTTGGCTTCAGGCCCCAAAAGCATTAAATGAGTCAGAGACAGACATATTATCATGTAAAGATTGCAATTTATAATTAACATATTTATTGGTTATTGGCCACTGCATATCAAATTATCCTAAAACTTTATAGTGTAAAACAATAAACATTTATTACCACATAGAGTTTCTGAAGATCAGGAAATCTGGAGCGGCTTAGCTGGGTGACTCTGGCTCAGGGCAGCCCATGAAGTTGCAGTTAAGCTGTTGGCCCAGGGCTGCAGGCAGCTGAAGGCTTTGTGGGGACTGGTGGGTTCACTGCCAAGCTCACTCCCTTGGCTGTTGGCAGGAAGCTTCAGTACCTCACTTACCATGTGGGCCTTCTCGAAATATGGCAGCTGGCTTCCCCCATAGCAAATGACAGGTCAGGGGGCAGGATAGAAAGAGAGAAGAGCCCAAGATGAAAGTGGTGGTTATCTTGTATAACCTATTCCCAGAAGTGATATGTATCATCAGTCCTTCCATATTCAATTGGTCGTAGAGACCATCCCTGACATAACGTGGGAGAGGACTACATAAGCGTGTGAATACCAGGAAGCATTGTTCATATCGCTTATAAAGATTTATCTATGCACAAAATAACACAGCATCAACATTCATAAGACTGAAACTTTAGGCGATATGAGGAAAAATAAATCATCAATACACTAGTAACAGCAGACTTAATTCAGTGATCTTAGTACATGATAAGACAAGTGGATAAGAAATAATTAAGGATAGAGAAGACTAAATGTCATTTTATTTTATTTTTTAAAAAGATTTTATTTATGTATTTGAAAGAGAGAGAGAGAGAGCACGAGTGTGGGGAGGGGCAGAGGGAGAGGGAGAAGCAGATTCCCCGCAGAGCAGGGAGCCTGATGCGGGGCTCGATCCCCGGACCCTGAGATCATGACCTGAGCCGAAGGCAGATGCTTAACAGACTGAGCCACCCAGGCGCCCTGACTAAATATCATTTTAAAATCTATATTCTAAAAGCAGATAATCCACCTATTTTATTCAACTGCCCATAAAATATTCATGAATAATAATTTAGGCCACAAAGAATACATTGAAAAATTACAAAAAGTAAAAATAGTTTGGACAATATTCTCTGGTTACAGTAAGTCTGAAATAGAAGTTTAATACTAGACTCAGGAAACAGAAGGGTCCCTCTATCTCGAAATCGAAACAAACAACAACAATAACAAAAGCCTTGGGTCAAAGAGGAGATGAAAACTAAAATTGCTAGAATATTTAGAAAACTAATTCTGATTAAAACACCGCATGTCCAAGCCCATGGTATACAACTGTGCTCTCAGGCCAGGGCCGCTCATGGGTGAGTGGGTAAGTCAGAGAGAAGCCACGTCTTCTAACACCTAAACTTTATCAGCAACAAAGTGATATTTTGGCCTCCATCTGTGTTACTCTCCATCAGTTCAGAATTTGGGCAAAGCGAGGTATTTGCTGGGATTCCCCAAGGCCCCAATACCACTAGATGATACAATGGGACAAAAGAAAATAATTAGAGGTATAAAAGCTGGAAAAGAGGACATAAAATTGTCACTATTTGCAGATGATCATGTTCCTGGAAAACCTAAAGAACCCACTGAAGAACCATCACCAACAGTAAGAGGATCTGGCAATATGGATATGTAAAGTTAATGACCAAGAATCAATTACTTTTGGGGCACCTGTGTGGCTCAGTCAGTTAAGCGTCTGGGGTCCTGGGATCGAGCCTCATATTGGGCTCCCTGCTTAGCGGGGAACCTGCTTCTCCCTCTGCCCCTCCCCCTGCTCAAGCTCTAGCTCTCTCTCTCTGATAAATAAATAAAATCTTTAAAAAAAAGAATCAATTACTTTCATGCATAAATATGACCGTTCAGAAGAGATAATGAAAGAAAAGGTCCATTTCCAAGGGCAATGACAACAACAAAGTAAACTACTTTGCAGTGAAATTCACACGTGGCAGCAGGGTGTGTGCAAAGACAACATTGAGACACTTTTGAGCGCACAAGGAAGACCTGAATAAATGAGAAGACCATGTTTTTGGCTAGGAAGACTCAACATCGTAAAATGTCAATTCTCCCTAAGTTAATTTTGAAACTTAATGCCATCCCAATAAAATACCAGACGAGCTGATTCTAAAGTTCATGTGAAAAAAAAAAAATAAAGCAACAAAACATTCAGGCAAACTCTGAAACGAAGAGTAATATCAGGGGACTAGCTCTACTAGATATTAAAATGTATTAAAAGTTTCAATAATTCAAACAGTGAGGAACCAATGCATGAATAGCAAGACAGGCCAATCCACCATAACAGAAAATCCGGAAATAGAAGGGAAGATACATATGAGAGTTTAGTATGAAAAACTGGCCTCTAAAATCAGTGGGGGAAATGATTAACTATTCAATAAATGTGGTTGGGCTCACTGGTTGCCCATGTGGAAAAAAGATAAAGTTAGATTCAGTCCTTGCACCATACACAAGGATAAATTCCAAATGGATTAAAGATTTAAAAGGAAAAATAATGCCACAAATATGTTAGAAGAAAACATGAGAGAATTCTTTGATAATCTTGGATTAGGGAAATCTTTCAAATTATGACTCAAAGTAGACAAGACATTAGAGAAAAAAATTAAACTGCACTAAGGGAATCTTTGTGTCAAAATATAAAGTCAAAAGATAACTCAATGAGGGGCATCTGGCTGGCTCAGTTGGTAGAGCGAGAGACTCTTGATCTCGGGGTTGTGCGTTCGAGCCCCATGCTGGGTGCAGAGATTACTTAAAATAAAATGCTTAAAAAAAAGACAACTAAGTGAGAAATAATACTTGATGCTCATATTTCATCAAAAGGTTAGTTTCTCTAAGTTATAAAGTAGTCCTTGAAATCAGTGAGATAAAGAACCAAATGCTCAGTAGAAAAATAAGCAAAGGATGTGAACAAGTGGGTCACAAAAAAAGGTTCTACCTCACTCATAATAACAGAAATACAGATTAGAACTACACCAAGATATCATTTTTTTTAAACTTGTCAGAATGATAAAAAATATCCCAGAGTTTGAAAACATGCTCCATTGGGAAGGTCAGGGAAACAATGCTGGTAGAGTGTAAATTGGTACAGTCTCCAGGGAAGACACTCTGGCAAAAATCGATTCAAACTGCAAGTGTATGTATTCTCTGTATTAGTCAGGGTTCTCCAGAAGAAACAGAGCCAATAGGATATGGATAGAAGCATAGGTACAAGAGGAGGTTTATTATAGAAATTGGCTCTCGTGGTTCTGGAGACCAAGAAGTCCTACAACTTGCCTTTTGCAAGTTGGAGAATGGGGACAGCTAGTGGTATAATTCAGTCCAAGTCTGCAGGCCCAAGAACCGACGTCCAAGGGAGGAAAAGATGGATGTCCCCAAGAAGAGAGAGAGGGAATTTGCCCCCCCCCCTTTACCTCTGTGTCCTATTTGGGCCCTCACTGGATTGGATAATGCTAAGCTGCCTATAATCACCTGACGGTAGTTTTCCTTACTCAGTCCACGGAATCAAATGCTAATCTCTCCCAGAAATACCCTCACGACACACCCAGAAATGATGTTTCACCAGCTACCTGGGCATCCCCTTAGCCCGGTCAAGTTGCCACATGCCATTAACCATCACGTTCTCTGACCCAGCAATTCCATTCTAAGAATCTACTCTAAAACCTAGTGTGTACATAAAGGATATGATGTTATCAGAGTTCTTTGTAATAGCTAAGATTAGAAGCAAACTAAGTGTCCATCAATAGAGAAATGGCTTAAAGAAACTATGGTATACGCACTATTTCCATGCAAAGTAAAACCATAAAACTGTACAAAAGAATGAGGAGGTTCTCAATGTACTGACCTGGAAAGATCTCTTGGGCCTAGGTTAGGTGCCTAGTGTATAGCGTACATTACCATTTGCGTAAAAGATAGAGGAAAGAATATATATTTATATTTGCTCAAGTCTACAAAAAATGTGTTTATCTGTTTAGAAGTGGGAGGAGGACAGATGTGGGGGGGATACTTTTTATTTTATACCTTTTTATTTTGTCCTATATCAATGTGTTACCTATTCAAATAAGTTAATGCAATTTATGAAAATGTCATAAGTGAAAAGATATAATACTTGACATAGGTTTAGATAACAGAGCAATGGATCAGAGTAGAGAGACTAGAAAGAGAGCCCTACGTATATGGAAACTTTTAACACCGTGGAGGCGGCATTCCAAACCAGTGGGAAAATGGTGGATCATTCAATCAATTGGGTTGGGAAAATTGTTATCTACTTGGAAAAAGTAAAATAGGACTGCTAACTCTCACTCTGCACAAAAACTAATTTTAGAATCAATATGGAAAAATATGGCAAACAAAAACTTAACAGTTTTGGAAGAAAACATGGAAGAATATCTTTATGCCCTCAGGGTATGAAAGTCTTTCTTAAACAATTCAAAAAACAGAAACAAGCATGGAAAAAGATGGATGGATTTGACTCCATTAAAATGTAAACATTTATGTGCATCAAAAGATACTATAAACAAAGTAAAAAAGAGAAGTCACAGGCCGAGAGAGGAAATTGGCAACACATAACCAAAAAAGCTTTGTGTTCAGAGTATATAAAAAGACCTACAAATCAATTAGATAATGCAAAGGACTGCACAGAAAAATCAAGGTACATGAAGAAGGTATAGGAAGAAGCAGTTCACAGAAGAGAAAAACCAAGTAGCCAATGGATATTTGAAACAGGACTCCATGTACTGGTAACTAGTGAGAAGCCAAGTGAAATCACTGTGGTTGTAGTACGCACAGCCCATTTGCCAACATGGGAGAGCCTGACAGTTTCAAGTGCCGAAGAACTACACGGACCAATGTGAGCTCCCGAGCCTTGCTGATGAGAGTGTGAATTGCTCCCGAAGAACAAGTGGGTGATTCCCGATACAGACACACACACACACACACACACACACACACAAACATTTCGTGTATATATGAAATCCCCACACAAGGAGACACGCACAGGAATGTTCCCGGAAAAACTGTTTGAAAGAGTTAAAAAAATTAGATGCAACTTAAATGTTCTAGAGAAGAATTGATGAGCAAGTGGTGGCTACATTGAAAGCACTCTATGGAACAGTGAAAACGAAAGAACCAGAGCTACATCAATCTATGGGGGTAAATCTCACAAACACAGTACTGGACAACACCACCACCAAAAAAGCAAATTGCAGAAGGATATATAGTATGATAAAATCTGTGTGACATTTAGGGGCAGGCAAAATGACACTGTAAAATGTTTATGTTCGGATGAACTTTATATAATACATGAAGGGGTATAATAAGAATGTAAGAGCATTCATAAAGATTTGAGTGGAAAGAATACATCATATCAAAGAGGAGGATTACCTCTTGTGGGAGGGGAAGGAATGGGGTTGGGCGAGGTGCCCAGGGGTCTCCAACTGTACGCGTGTTGCTTTATTTCCATTCTGGATGCTGGGTATGTGGGTGTTGGTTTCTTATTCTCTACACCTTCTGATGTCAGACATATTTTATAATCGTAAAAGATTAAGAGTTCCCTAACAACAGTAATAACTAACTAGAAAATAGAAGAGGGTATAAGACACCTTTCGTTTTTTTACAATAGCAGCAAAAACTAGTAAGTATCTAGGAATTAACTTACAAAGAATGTAATGCCAAACTCTGTGTAGTACCAACAAAATTTCCTCCTCCCCCACCCTTACTCTATTTTTTGACGATTGATGGCTTCTTGGCTTCTTAACTGTATGAGCTAATGCCTGTGAAGCACTGAGCACGGATCTCACACATAGCAAACACGAATTCAATGGGATCAATTATGACAGTTCAATACACCACCCCATGATGTGGCCTCTTGCACTTTGCCTCTGTTGGGGGCTTCTAAAAGGTTGGGGTAGTGTGAATGTTAATAGAATCAACAGTAAGCTATTTATTCATCAGAGGTGTGTGTGCGTGTGCCTGTGTGTCCTATTTACAAAAGCAGAAAGTGGGACCTAGAGAGGGAAGGGGTCTCCCCCATGGTGCCCAGCAGGTCAGTGGCTGAGCCAAGACTAGAACCTGGGGTGGGGCAGAGAAGGTGAAGGAGGGAACGTGGTGAAGGGGACTGGCAAGAAAAGAAAGATGGGGAAGGAGGAAGAGGAGAGAGAGAAGGGCAGGGACCTAGCAAGGGGCCGAGGAGGTGGCTCCGTCTGCGTCTGTCTGCCAGCTCGCTCGGAACGGCAACAGAGCACCTGTTCTCCCTCTCTCACGGTCAAGCCCGCCTCAGCGTCCTCTTCTGGGGGAACTTAACTTGTTGGCCTTCATGGCGCTGTTTCATTTTCCCAATCTAGTGGCATCCTTTGGCCCGCTGGGCACCTCCAATTCTGACTGCATTTCTCTGCATTCTCATGGAGAACCACAGGTTCCTAAATGGTCCCAAATACAGTGTCAGTCCCAGCAGGTTTCACCCAGGAGAATCCCTGGAGTTTGATGAGGGATGAGGCTGCTCCCAGGCCAGTCGCTGGTGAGACACTGAGCCCCAGAGGAACAGGGTCATCAGTGGGGGTGGAGTGGGTCCCAAACCTGGGGACAGATGATCAAGGATCTCAGGGCCACGGGAGAGCTCCCCACCCTGCTGTTGTGGACATCCCACTATCCATCTCACCTGCCCCATCAGCTGTATCTCTACTCACAAGGTCGTGAAGAGCAGCCTTTTGGGATAAGGTTGAAGACTCCTCGATGAAAAACACTGCATCCCTGTTGAGGCACAGAATCATACGTGGAGAATAGACATGTTACCTCCCATGATGCTGGGGCAGCCCCTCACCGGTGAGGCAGGAGATAGACCAGAAAGTAGGGAAGAGTGTTGGTTCCCCTTCAGAGTTTGGAATTCTGTGTTGTGTAATCTTCATACTAACTCGGCAAGGTGAGCGTTACTGACTCCAGTTCATGGAAGACAACAGTGAGGCTCTGAGAGGTAAATTACTTGGCAAGGAAACTTAGTGAGTGTTGGGGCCCATGGTGATGGAGTCAAGCCTCGAACCTAGAGACATCTGATTGCCTAACTAGCTCTTTCTGCTAATATTCCAGAATGCATCCTGCTGCAATCACATGGAAGGGAATAACATTAGGATTATTATAGAAAGAGAGTGCAGAGTCCAGGGGAGCAGGCTGTTGCCCAGGCACAGTGGTGGGATCACGCAGCAGCCCAGAGACTGCCCTGGGAAGATGCTCAAGAGGTGATCTGGCCAGTCCCAGTCTTCAGGCTACCGACTCTCTCCAGGTAGCTGGTCATCTGGTCTCGTCTCCATGATCTCCATCCGACTGGTGAATGCTTAAGCCCATGAGCTCCCTGGAAAATCCCTTCTTCATCTAAGCCTGCGTCCCCCACCTTGCAACCATCATCACCCTGTGGGATGTGAACCTTGGCCCAGGGCGTAAGTTGCTGACCTTAACTGCAGGCGCAGCCCACTGTGCTCCCCGCACTGAACTCCTCCTTTGAGGCTAGGGCCAATCTCCTCAGGTAGAGATGGAAATATTTTAGTGGCATGGTGAATGGTGGCAAGGGGACCTGCCTCCAGGCTCAGGGCACAGCCCTCAGTTAGAATGGACTGTGCTCTGGGGAGCCAGATCTGGATTCTGTTAAAAGTCATTATCTGTAGTCTGCGATTTCCACATCCTGACTCTTGTGCCACGTGGGTGTGTGCACGCTCACGTGTGTGTGGTGGATGTGTGTGTGTTCATGGTGGGTG